ATAAATCTTGACTCAATTCGCCAAGACATTCCCTTCACATGTATCCACTTCTGTTCGTTCCGTACAAACCTCCTAACCATCACAATACATGAAAAAATAATGGATTACTGATGAAGTTGTTCTGGGTTGTGACACCGTGTAGACTCGTAGGTAGTTAGCAGAGTTTCAGAAGAACATGTTACTACGAGTCTACATGACGATACAGCCCAGGACGTCGTCATCCTCACCGGCGTGAGAATCTCAACACTCTCATTGCAGAAAACTGTTTTCGATAAACAACTGACAACCGACACCCACAGTGGAGAGGAAACTTAACACGTGTCGAAACATTCAAAATAAGACTGACCATTTGCACAGTGACGTGCAAGAACCAGTGAATTGTATTTTGCTAGAAATCTTTTTTCTACATCCCCGCGTTCAGATACGTTACTGTAGCATTAACAGAGGTTATTACATCAAGGCCAGTTATACAAATCTGATCGACATGTGCTGAGAGAAGAAAGTGCGTAATGTTTTCACCCGCTGATCTTAATTTGTCGTGGGTTTGTTAAGCCCTGCCCATATGGTCGAATACAGAATCATGGCTAAAAGGTTATCGAAGAAATGTCAGCTAATTTCCAAATAAAACCTACATATACAAACCAAACAGAGCTAAGCGTTTCAAATATATACCTTACAGTGCAGTTTCCTTGTAATTCTACCGTTCAAAGCACTACGCCGTCAGCTTAAAAGCTCGGAGAACGAGCAAATTCTCATCATCCTGACCGAGTGTACCGTCATATTCCACAACCCATCCAAGTAAATGTTAACAGATCACAATATCGATGTTGGTCTTCTGCGTAGTACCGCTGTGTGGGCTTGTAGGTGCATACAATCATCCGTCTCCATCTTCAAGGTTGAAGATGGAGACAAAATATTTGTCTGAAAAGTTAATACCCCTACCTACAAGTCCACATGGGGTTACTAGCCAGAACAACACCGAGTGCACCCCAAGCACCACGATAAGTTACTCCCAAATCGTCAACAATTCACAACTACTATTCTGTAACACAAAACATAATACCTGAAGGCTTAGAGCAGAAGCGTTATGCAAACAAACCGAAATAATCAAATTTATGTGGGCTGTTGGACGCTGTGCCACAGCCCGTCAATTACATTATTAAAATGAGCTTGCTGACAGGAGGGCGGTGGCAAGGCTGAAGAGTGGGGGGCGGGAAATTTATATGCTACACTCGAAATCAGTCCATTTTACTTACTTCAACGCTGGAACGATGATCGGGTCAAATCTCTCGTCGTTCACCACGCACTGTCTTCTTCCACCATGGATCCAACATCAACTAAGTTCAACTACTTGCTCAACAATCAACACGGCCCCCGCCTTAATTTTTCCGGTAAGACAACAAAAGAATTAAAGAAGGGGCAGAACGAGGGTGTGAGAGAATACGTCGTCTGCAGCCCCCTCCTTATATGCGCAAGGAATCTGGCAGGGACGCTTGCAGGGGCGTGGCGTCGCGATGAACCGGCCACCCTAGGCTCAGACGCGTCCCCTCCACCCGTTAACGCGTGAATGGAAGACACACACGTGGTCAGATTGAGAGCAACTGTAACATGCCACTTGAAATTTATGTACCCCTCTCACAAACCACTATCAATTTACGCGAGTTCATTATAATTAGGCCAAATGCATAAGGCCCATTAATTACAAAATTACGCCTCAAACACTTTGTGGCATATGAAACGCGCAACATCAAGAGCGCCCACAAAATTAAACTCTTCTTGCCAATCAAGGCGGAGTTCCGAGAATCTACACCGAAAAGGACACATCTCTTTTCTTCAGATATAACTAAATTTAACTTGGTCGTTCACGTTATCCCACTGAGAGCACTCCTGTTTCGAATTCGAAATGCACTGGTTTCGAATCTCGGTACAGATGCCGTCCATCCCGAATCATTTTAGTTTCTTGTCCCTCACGCAAACGACAGGGTCGCTTGTAAGATTTGAGGTTTTCACGGCGGTGAGTATGAAGATTTCTGTCTTCTGGGCTGTTGCGCTGTGTAGTCTGGTCGATGTTAACCAACGTTTCAGATGTTTCAGAGGTCTTACTGCCTCCGTCATCGTCAGACACGGTTGCTTCCTTTCAAATCCGTATTCGTTCATCGTACAAAAACCATTACGTTTTAGTAGGATTTGAAGTTTTCACGGCGTTGAGTCCATTTTGAGTTGTAACGCCGTGTAGTCTGGCAGAAGTTTGCCAACGTTTCAAGACGTCAATAAAATCTTCTCGGGTAATCAGCCGCCGAGCAGGCAGTCACACAGGCGACTTCCGAGGATCCAGTCACATCAGAACCCTGAAGAAGGGGGCAGAATTTGTTCCAGAAACGTCGGTTTACTACGGTAACCATTTAACGCGGCTGATTGCCGCGAAAGTCTGAAATCCTGTTTCAAGACGTCTTTGCTACATCTATCAGACTCATCGCCCTAATGATGGAAGCAGCAAGGGCCTCTGAAACGTTGGTAAACTTCTACCAGACTACACGGCGCTACAACCTAGAAGAACCATCTTCATAACGTTTTAGATTCAACGCTGTATAACCAGTAAAGGTTAGTAATATCATCAAATAAACTAAGGAAATTCAAGTCGTTTTCAATTAGTCCTAATTTTCTTTAGAAAATCTTAAAACAGTAAGATAATCTCTGTATATGCTTAACCTGAAATGAAGAACGTTTTACATGATGTTGCGCCGTGTATATGGCAGCCATTTACTGGCGTTTCAGAGGTGATTGCTGCCTCCATCACCAGGTTGATGACAGAAGACAGTCATCTTCATACTCGCCGCCATGACAACCTGAAATCTCGCATTATATCGAGATCGCGCACTCCCTCTTGTTCCTCGGTCATCAGATCGTTCCCAAGTTTCATCTTCAGAACAATTAAATGAATTTGGATCAGACTTGGTACAAGAGGCTTACTCTGAAATTATTTTAATTAATTTAATTCTGGTTCAGATGTATCAGATAGAACTCGTATTTCATATAAAGATGTAAATTGTACTCTCGACAGATTCGTTAATACAAACTAAATACAAAAACCATGGAAATCTAAGTCATAAATGGGAACCGGGAAGCTCAGTCAGCATCATGACTAGGCTACGATTTGATAGACCTGAGTCGATTGTCGGCTGGGACACACGTCTCTTTGCCACAGCGTCCAGACTGGTTCTGGGACCCACCCAGACTCCTATCCAATGGAAACCAGGAGGCCTCTATCCCAAGGGTAAAGCGGAATGGGTGCGAAACTGTCGAATAAGCAACGGGGCCAATTTCACCTTAATTTTTAAATTATGTGCACTGATGAGTCAAGCAGCTGAGAAGCTCCACTTGAATTGAGCACAGAGTACGCTACAAGAATAGTAAATGCAATCACTACTTACAGTGAACATATAGAAGCCGCCGGGTACCGGTTGGCCGCCAAATTTCACACTCAGGGTGTAGTCACCTGCGTCCTTTACTGTGTAATAGATGCTGAACGTTCCATCTCCATTGTCTTCAATATCGATGTCCAAATCACTGAAACAAATATTAGTAGATGCATCTGCACAAAGCTGGAATATTTTACTGCTTACTCTAATTAGATTATACACGATATAATCAATCACAAAGTCGTAATTTTGTTATGTGTCCTTAAAGTCTATTAAAACATGTCCTTCATTTTCGACCAGTCAATAAATTATACCACGTCATGTCCTAAATGCCCAAAGAAACTACCAGACATTGCACAGACTGTTTCCCCTCTTTCTTCTGAAAGCTTTGAACAAATGTAATTGTACGTGTGTGTGTTTTCTTTCGCTTAAAGCTCTTAAACGGACAAACCAATTTGCATCAAACTTGGCATTTATTAAAACCAAGAAGAGATTTTAGTACGGTCAAAACTCCGAAAAAGAGTCCTGGGTTAGAGTCCCAGAGAGGGTGATTTCTGTAGCTCGGAAATTTGGCATGAGAGATCAACGGCGCCAAGACAAAAATTGCTTGCTTCGACAAGGAGATTATAGGAACGAAGTTCATGACCCCGAAAAATCTGTCCTGGAATTCGAGTCCCGGTAAAGATAAAACAAGAGAGCCAATACAAAATTTTTGTTTCGGAGAGGAGATTACGGGGACAAATGCCACAATCCAGAATAATCTATCCTGTGTTCGGGCACCGGTAAATATGGTTTCCGTAGATCCGAAAAAACGCACGTCTCTGCAGTCCATACACCATCATTAAACAATCTACGAACAAATAAACTTCGCATTCGATGCTATATATTCCGAAGGTAACAAAAAATCCAAATCAGGAAAGCTGTACACAACATTATGTCTACGGAGTGGCTAACCAACGACAACACAAAGATTCAACACCGCTTTTTCGTGAGCCAGCTCCAGCCACCTTCTATCCTTACATCCTACTTCCCTAACACCCAGCTTCATATCGTCTTCCCATTACCTTCTATGCCTTAAAAGCTGTTAGGTCTGCCTCTGATAATTGTGCACGAATTTACTGTCTGTCACTTGCGGTAAACTCCCAACGCATCTTCTGTTTGGTTCGGTGCCATGAGAATATAAAGTGACTCATGAATCACATTATCCCAACAGGTCTAACAAATACAAACTTTTCCCTCTATACACAAGTACATTTATCCCTACCCTTTTCGTATAATCTACTCTTAAAATCGAATTAGTATATAATTCGTGTACACGGACTCGGGGAACGTTCAGCAGACTGTTCGTGATATTCGCTGACTCAGAGCAGTGTAAGTGTCCCTCAATCCAATCGAGTGAGGATAATAGTCACATGAGCGGGATGGAAAGTTTTGTCAACAGACACACAGAAATCTGGCATAAAACCAAGCACTTCATCTGCTGGCAGCTTAAAACAAAGGCTCTGGGTTGGTAGGCAAATACACGTATTGCCTCGTAGCCCAATAAAACACGCCGACCATCAGCTATACGCTTAAGAACTAAACTGTACTTGGTTATAACACAGTTCACTGGAATTTTTAAGAACCGACTGCTAGCTAGCAAACTGGTCACTGACGAGACTTCCCTAGCATGGACGTCTGGTTCATCGAGTACTAAACCGTCCCACAGCGACGAGGTGGTAATCGCGGGAGATCCTTGGATTCATTGTTCACTTTTATGCCATTGCACTATTTCTTATTCATTTCGAGTGAGAGTGAAATAAGTCCACAGTTTTTTGAACAGCGGTTATCAAAGAAGCAACTTGCTGACTTCACCGTCCGTCTGAGTAGTAAAGAACGCCTTTTGAATTTAAGTGTACTCCAAAGAGTACACCTCAAACTGGGAATGTTGCGGCCGTGGCCTATTCCAGTATGTATTTATTTGGATACAACCCGTTACCGCAGTACCAACCTCCTCATGTGGTATCGAATTGTGTAACCGGCATATTTTTAATGCATACTTATTTATTTATGGCTGATTTGACGACGCTGTCTGAAGATCGCATTCTACAATTTTGTCACACACGAAATATAAACATCTGCAGATGCTTCAAAATTGCAAAGCACAGAGTAGCTGTATCAGTTCTTAAAATACTGACTAATACATTTGGGATTCTTCCGAAAGTAGTTTCTTAGAAATCTACATGTGATTCGCATCTATATTGTAGTAGTTGTGTATTGTTCTTGCTTCTGACAAACCCCCAACGGATACCGGTTATGCAACACGCTTGACAAATGGGTTGGAGAAGTTGCCGAAGCGTCACGGCGAACCTCTTCACGGAACACATTACTCCTGTTTCAGACATGTGTTGAAGGTGATATTATGCAAAAACAGGGCATAGTCACTTCTTTGCCCACAAATAATTTTATAATCTTCCACTCATCCGACGCTATGTAAACCATGTATCCCATAAAGTGTCGTTAAACACACCAAGAATTAAACAATAAGTGAAGTACGTAAGTATTTATGGGACATTGTAAAGGTAATGAAAGGTGTGTCTTAAAATATCCTGCACCTCAATGACAAACTCTCTACCAGGCCTTAAAAGGCGTTGAAATATGAGCAGATACAGAAATAAGCTTATGTTTTGCCTACATGAAAATAATATACTGTCTATGTAAGAAAGTTTGTGAGCTGATGGAACTTCGTTTTTCTGAAGAGTGGATAATTATCGTTCACTGGCGTGCACAATTCGCAACCTTTGGTCCTCCAGTAAAGTTGTGAAGAACGACGACATTCCTCGCGAAAGTATATAAATATAATATAAAATTACATTAAAGTTGGAGGACAAAGCATTGTTGCTGTTAAATTAGTTTTAAATTTGGTTCAGAAACGCGATACTCACGCCTTGAACCCCACTACCTGGTACATCAACATCAGAAAACCTGCTACAATCATTAATTACCATAAACATCCCACAGCCTTTTCACTGTTATTGGAAAGAATATTCTCCATACATTTGTCCAGCGCCGTTTATATCCCATACTCTGTCGCTCTACGCTGCAAAGGCGTGTATCCCACTACGACTGTACCAAAACATGAGAGTCGAGAGAAAAAAATGGTCCCTCGGTTAACGATAAGATTCCACAAAAACCATAATTAATTTAAATTATCGTTAAATGAATATAGAAAATACATGTTATCTGCTAAATTCGTTCCAAGACGATAGGAAATTAGCATTTTTTCACCCTAAAAACATAGTTTATAACATATAAACACACAATTTTAATAAATAAATATGTAAGCATTAATATCGTTAATCGTTAATCGATTGCATGTAAACCGAGGGATTACTGTATAGCTTAATATGCCACTCTAGTAGCACGCTGCAATATACTCTGGCCCTTTTTTTGGAACTTCTGAATGCTAATTTCATTACTCTGTTACCTTAATTTAATATAAAAGAGAAAATGAAACAGAACACATTCTACATATTTACGAATCCACTTAAAATAAGTCACGCCACGAGTAATAAGTATGCTATGGGTGTTATGAAAGGATGGTACTTCAAAGTGTCCTTGGGGCATAAAAGATGAGACGAAATTACTTAACCCACGAAAGGATTAACAGCAACTTTAAAGAAAATAAAACAGTTAACTTGTTTTCAATATTTTCAGCTGCAGATATAATTCGAATTATTCAAACAATAAAATTAACACAAAAATTAACCATTTCTACTAATGATCTTAAACTATTTCATCAAATTCACTTCTCTTTATTATAAAAGCATTTTTCTTCTGAAAATAAAACTGCCATAATCCCATTCTTATTGCCGTTTATCACAAATTCTTCACTTCTTCCTGTTGGATTGTGGATAGCCGTGGAGATAGCCCACTGTACGTATAACAGAGTACCCCTGACTTCTAAGTATTTGTAAACATGTCAGTCGGGAACAAAGCAGTGCACACAGCCAGTTTTCCTCTGTTTAAAAACTCAGGGGAGATAAAGTTCTACTTAAAACACGCAGACAAGCCAGTTCTTCCTGTTCGTGACAAGTGTATCGAACACACAAAAATCCTGATTTACAGAATAATTTCGTCCAATCACTTCAAGTGACATGGCCTCTAATTTGTACATTACATAACTCGCAATACTGACACAGTAACAACTGTGCACATTTAATGGTCCTTCTCGACTACAACTGTTTCCGTTAGTGTACTGAATCTAGTGTGAGTCATTAACTAGTGTTAAGGGGGCAGTATGATTGAAAGGGGAATGACGATGTGTTATCTTCATCTCTCGCCCCTTCCTTTATCCGTCCGTGTCCCTTTCCCAACCGTGCTACGTACCACAGAGTTCGCAACGGGAAGGTACAGATCTGCCTAATGATGGAGGCAGCAAGCACCTCTGAAACGTCAGTAAACTCCAACCAGACTACACGGCACAACATCCAAAAGACATACATAAAACATACGTGTGCAATTAACGGAAAGTGGCATGGACACGATCTACAGAACCGAAGTGCATGTGCTTTTATAGCATAATTAACTGATTAAAGCGCTGACATAATTTGAATATTATAAACAGCCAAATAACACCAAGAAAATGTCCACGTTTAAAGTTAACATTAGGATAAATTCTTCCCATACGATCAGCAGTGCCGGTGAATAACACGACGGACTTGACAAACCCGATTTGCCGATGTACCACGAGACCTAATTTAACATTTACAAATACTCGGAACGATGAGAAGTTTGTGGCAAGATTCTGAAGCATTCTAATCGTAAAATTAAAACTCCAAGCCATAAGAAAATTCAGGTATTTTTCATCGTATCATTAGCACGAATCATTAAATTAGAACATAATATATGAGCGTATTCTATAATATATTCGTTTCAGTGTATTTTAAATAAACGGCCTAACACGGTTTCCAGCTTTCTGAATTGGTCCCCATACAAAACGTTCAGTGATATTTTCAATTACTGGTGCATGCATGAGATTTTATTTGCTGATTGGTTTCAGCGTCACACAGATGACATTAATGTGTGCTGTATTTGTTTTATTGTGAAGATAACTGTAGTCTGGGTTGCAACTCCGTGTAATTTGGCAGAAGTTTGCCAACGTTTCAG